ACACGGAACACAGCAGTAATTCAATAGCTCCATTTATTAATTGTCAAATAGCAATCCACTGCAATAAGGAACAAAAAACCAGCACAAAAGTAAATTGCGGTTTGTGTGTGTGTGTGTGTGTGCGCGCCTGTGCGTAACTTCAAACGGCAAGAGCAAGAACAAAAAATGAACCTTTAAATGAGTATGTTATATACAGCCAGCATCATCGCGTTACTGTGCTCGACAGGTTAATTTGGTGTTAGCCAGTCATAGCAACAGGCCTAAATATTGCTGCAAGTAACTGGAGGACAAACCCAAGGCAGAAAACCAAACCCATAAATAAGATGCAGGATCAAAGGTATCTCCTCCCGCCAAAAAGAAACAGTGGTGCTTTGTGTCATATCCGAAACCCTTTCGTCATGGATGTTTTGTGCTAAAACTCCCAATGTGAACACACACAGAATTTCTTCCTTTAAACAGAAGTGGAAAAAAATCCCAACCTTTTGCAACTGCCTTTTTTTTTTTTTTCCCCCCCTCCCTTCACTCAATGTGTTTAAATTATTTCTCTATACAAGGTAAGTACATTGTCTGTACAAAGTTAAATATACATATTTACAGTCCGACTTCTGAGACGCCGAGCCTTCTCTTCCGCTGACGCAGGCGGGAGACAAGCCCACTTGATTTCACACCCAGGAGCATGGCTAGTTTATCAAAACATTGCAAGTCGTGCTAACAGTTAGCTGTAGTTAATAAATCTGTAGAAAAGCATCAGCAGAAAAATAGGCATCTTATCTTATTAAATACGGCGTATGACAAAATAGCAGTCTGACCCTTTGCTGTCTGTGTGGTGGCTGTAGGAAGCGGGGTCTGGTGGAACCGGCTTTGTTTGCGCTTCTTCTCCGTAACAAAATGTCTATCAAAAGATATTCCAAGGGGATTCGCAGGCAAGCAGACAGGCAAGCCGTGCGGTGTTTTGGTTTTCAAGGAAATATGAATCTATGTAACTGGTAATAACCGCCAGGAACAGCTTTCCGAGCTGATCGGGCTTTTTTGCGTGCCTACGAGGCAGCCCAAACGCAGGCACTTCTTGGAGGCCTCCCATCAGCACGGTACCGCCGACCCAAAGGCACCCTCAGTGGCAGAGCTGCTCCGGTTCCTCGGAGCCTCTGCGACCGAGCGCTGGGCAGGACGCAAAGCCTTCGCCCCGAGGAGCTGGCTTCGAAAAGCCGGCGATCCTTCGGGGCCAGCGAGTGGCCGCGGGACTCGTCAACGGGATTGGCACTCACGGGTGTTCTGTTCATCGCTTCTGTTCTTTGCGCAGATAAATGCCAAAGCCAGGCCCATTTCTCGTTAAAAAACCTGGGCTCGGTTGGCACCCGCACCCCCCCAAGCCCCC